CAACTTTTATTTCAAATATAAATTTTATATTCATTTGCCAAAAAGTTCCTCTCCTTCCAACCTTCCTTCTATGCACACTACTTTTTATTTTTATCAGCTACATCTACAAATCCACTTAGGCTCATTTGAATCATGATTTTTCAGAGGTAATAAATGTACCTCAGTTTGGGAGAGGGAAGAGAACAGCCAGGCACATTAAAATAACCTGATTTTTCTGGTAGATACTCAGCAATTGCTTAAGTAAAAAAATTTTTGAGAGATCTTGTATTGTATAGCCAACATGAGTAATCGCCTATGTGGCAGCCTGCGGGCGATTCTCCTTCTGCTCCTCCATGGCGGCGGCGGCGGGGACGGCGGCCCGCCAGGGGGCGGGGAGAGCGAGAGGCCCGCCCCTGGGCGGTGGGACGGCCCCGCCGCTGATGCCGCCGCCTCCCGCATTGCCGGGCCGCCGAGCTCCGTGAGAGCTGAGCTCGGGCCCGGCCCCCGCCGTCACTCTCTGGTATTAAAAGTGCTGGCGGGAGTGTGCCCGGGCTGCCCTCGGCCTGGTCCTCCGCGCTCCTGCCGGACCTCTCCTCAGCCTCTGCCCGGGAGCCCCCAGCTTTCCGTGAGCTCTGCCCGTGCTACGGGAAGAACGCACTGGGCAGACACTTTGTTTGTGCTTGCAGGTTCCTCTCCTCCTGAGGCTGACTTTGCCCAGGGCACCCTAAACACGGATCTGGCCACCGGGGCGGTTCAGCTGGCCCCTACGCCCTCCCTGCCCAGGGCAGGAGCCTAGCGTGCTCTTCCCATCTCCCCTTACCCACAGACAAGTGGGCTGCGGTGGGTATCACATCTGTGAGCCCTCTGGGTCTTCTCGGCAAAGGGAGGAGGCCCCTCTGTCCATCGTGGGTCAGCTCATTGTTCTGCTGATGCTTCCCGCAGCCCCGGAGCACAATCCAGGCACGTTCTGAGAGATTTCCCCCTGTCCCTCAGCGATGGAGGCCAATGTGTTGGTGGCACCCACCTGACTGATGCAGCCACCCTGACACCTCCACATCTGCCAGCCCCGAAGTAGCCTGGCATCTCATCTGCCCTGTTGTCTCACCTTCTGTCTCACGCCAGCATCTTGCTGCATTGCAGATGCTGCCATCCCTTCCCCTAGGTAACACTGCATTGCTGGGTTTGGTGGGGCTGCCATGGAGGTCTGTCTTGTCTTCTCTAGATGACAAGTGGTGATGGAAGTGGGGTCACGCTAGCCCGGGGCTATGTGGGAGAGGACTCACTCCCTACTTTTAATTCACCCTTCTGGTGCTGCTGCTAAGGCCCGTGTTGGCAGGTAGAGGGCTGTGTTACTGCTCTCACCTCTCAACAACGTGGCACTTGAGCCTGGTTTGCAAGGAACCAGGAAAGCAACCATGGTAGCGATGAGAACCGCTGGGCTGGCCTCACAAACCCACAGAACACCTTCAAGGCAGTAAGGGAAAAGCTATTCCCCTGCCTTGCTGGAGTGGACAATGGTTCACAGACCTGAATCCAAACAAAGGGCTGCATGCTCACATTCACTGAATGACAAATCTCTTGATCATTTTGCGAGTCGTTTGCTAACAGTGGTCCTAAAAGCTCTGGCTCCCGGATTCAGAAAACCCCAGATCTACAATTAGGCACAGACCACAGACCCTTCTAGCAGCAGGGTCCAAGGAGACGCTGGAAGAGGAAACCCAAATCAAACAACCAGGCCTCTCCTTGAGATTGAGATCACTTTTATTTTCAGTTGTTTTGGCGAGGATGTGTGGGCAAGTGTGGGTGTGGTGCGTGTATGTCTGGGCATGCATGTGTGTGTGTGCGCAGAGTCCTGCCCAGTGATGTAGATTATATGAGTACCTGCAATTACAGTCCATGAACTGAGCCATGAAGCGCGTGATGAGTGCTACACTGAGGCCCACTTGCTTGCCTCTTCTTGTGCTTACTGCAGTGCAGCATCTCCACCTCCCCGCACTGTCATGCCAGGGATGCCAGCCCAAAATCCCATCCCAAGGGCGCGGGAAGAGCTGAGGTCCGGGATCTGGCTCTGCAGGAGTGAGCCGGTGGGTTTTCACCTCACTTAGTGAGCTCATAAATACCATTTGCAGTTCCCTTTAACACAACCGTATCCGCCTCCTCACAGTGAAGAGCCCCTATTGCTCTGACAAACTACCTCAGAGGTATAAAGAGGAAGAGGACAGAGACCCCGTGTAAGCTCTGCTGCTACAGTACAGCCAAATGCATCCTGGGTTCCTGGGAAGCAGCACCCAAATGCACTGTTGAGTTTTCACAGCCACTGTGGGACTTCAGCATGGGGGATGCTGCAAGGGACATGACCTTCCACAGCCCCCAGTCTCTTCCATCTGATTTGAGAGACCACAAGGCAGGTTAAATCCCAATCTGATCTCTGTTTAACTTTAAAGCTGAATCCCCCAAGCTCAGAGCAGAGAGAGAACGAGAAAGAACAGCATTGCTGTGAGACTAGTCAAATGCATCCTGGCCTTGTGGCAGGTTAGAAACAATCCTATTTCTCTGATCTTTTTGCCTTTAGTATAGTTAAAGCAGAGGTGTCCCATCACGCAGGACCCTCTACAGTTTCCAGAGGCCTCCAAGTACCCCTTGCAAGGCCTACTATGAGCCAGATGTGCATCATCACCCCTTGGGCTCCCTCTACTCTACCTCGACAGATTTTTGTTTTGCTTAGGAACATGCAATCTTTCACATGTTACACAGACCCAGCAGAAGGCAAAGCTGCTATCCTGGGAGTTTCAATTGGACGGATGCAGGTTTGAGTCCCAGGTTTTTGCTTCGGAGCACAGCACAAGGTACTCCAGGATATGTTCCAGCTGCTGAAAGTCCTGCAGTGCAAAGCAACTTGCCAGCTCTGCTTCCAAACCTGTCTGCACCAGTTTCAGTAGGAAATCAACTGGTCAACAAGCAAGTGGTCTGCAAAAAAAAATAAGCAAAACCAGCACAGTCGTCTTGAGTGAAGCAGTCATCTAGTACCAGGAGATTATCCTCCTATTCCAAAGGGGTTATATTCTCCAAGGGGAGACAACTGATGCCCCAGCCCTTTCTGCCCTCTTCATGATATGCTTTCACTAAAGGCTGCCAGGGTGCTTCGCAGAGGCCTTAGTCGTTTCTAACAGTTCAGTAACTCTCCGAGCAGGGACAAGAACAGGAGTATAATACAGGCTCTGAACTTGGGTATTTCTGCCTTCAAGCCTTCCTTCCTCATGGCTTGACTCATGAAAATGACAGATCCTCCAAAAACATGGGGCACTCATCCCTGAGGCTCAGGGATGTTAAGTGGGGTCTAAGAGGCAGGAGCTCAGCAAAGGGACACTGTGTGCAGAGCATTCCAGGATGCATCCTTAAAAGAGAGCGACGGCAAAATCAAAAGGACTATCAGCCACCTGGCTTGCTACTCCTGCACAGATCTCCCACCTGGCAGTTGCAAAGGGGAGATGTTTTTTGAACTGCATAGAAAATTAAATGGCTTTTGCATATTACAAAAATACA